TCTTAATGTAATCAAATGTATTAGGCGGTTTCACTAATTATCCCTATTATAAAAGCATTTTCATGGTCCATAGTCCATACTGTACATTTTGGGCCATGTTCAAGGACCGCACACGTTTCGGAAATTATTGTTTTATCATTAATTGTAGGGCAGAGTATCAGTTTGCCCCCGAACTATAAAACATCTCAAATACCCTCCTCGAGTTTATGATCAACCATTAAATTATTAATACCTTTAATTTAAATGTGCAATTACTTCTTTGCCATTGGGATTTGTTGTAAGAAACTTAATAATTATATAATTAATATGTGTTGTATTTGTCGATTTGTTATGAATTTGTGATTGAAGTGAATTTATAGTTTACATGATTTTCTTAATTGTGTTTAATTTTTGGATTCAATATGTTTGCTAATTGTCCTTTTGTTCAATTTGTGTATTTTTGTTTATGCCTTTAATTAAATGCATAGCTTTTGGGTGATTTTCGTGCATTATAAGATTTCTTGTACCACGAAGTACAATAATTTTGTGTATTTGAGCTGTTACTCGACATTTTAATAAATTTTAGAAGAAAAAACAGTGGCCTTTTAGTGGTTAAATAAGGAGAAAAAAAGCGGAAATACAAGAAAAGAAACCAAAAATATGGAGGAAAAAACTTGACAAAATAAGCAAAAGAAAATCAATGAAAAGCTTGAATATATATATATATATATATATATATGAATAGAGGGGCAAAGTAGTCATAAAATCCAAAGTTGGAAAAAATAGTTACAAATCATAAAGTTAAAGTGCCACATTAGCATTTACAAATAAAATTTAAATAGAGGGCGTATTTGAGACGTTTTATAGTTCAAGGGGGCAAACTAGCACAACCCCATAGTCCAAGGATATAAATTGTACTTAGCCCTTAATTGTATTTTATTCATTTCTTTTTTTCTTTAAGAAATATATTCGCAAACTATAGTTACTGATGGATTAGACTTTTTGTTAACCAAATTTCACTAACTTGGATAATGCAGAATTTTTTCTCTCTCAAACGTCACATTCTTCTCTCCATATTTTTCCATCATCGATCTTATCATAAAAAAACATTCATCATATGTCTGTGATTTGATGATTTTTTTTTTTTTCCGTTTGATGAGTAAATTATTCCTCGTCCACACAATTTAAAACCTTACAAACATAGAGAGAGAACTGAAACACAAACATAGTATGTAATTTTTTGATCCAATCAAACACTGAAATCATAAAAGCTTCAATTAGTGCCCGAGAAAAAAAAATTATAATCTTAGAGATAATTGCTCAATGGAGAAGAGGAAGATGTCTAATATCGGTGTTGTTAGAAATGGAAAAGACCAGAAAATCAGATTTTTTTTTTTGTGTTTAATCACCAATACCACTACCATTACGAAAGAGATGGTAGCAGTGGGAGAGAGAGAAAAAAAAAATCAATTACAACTCTAGTTTAGAAAAATAAATGTATAATTAAAATTCCAAAAAAATCAATAATTGCAGACACGTGTCAGCATATCCCGCACCCGGTTATATTCAGCGGGTGTAGGTTCGAGAGAGCCGAAATGCCCACATCTATCGGGCAAAATCATATCTATTGGATTTCAAAGCCGTGGGCAACATAAATATCAATAGGGTAAATTACAACCACCTCTGAGAGGTATGGTCAATTTACGAAAAAATCCTTTTTGTTTGGATAATTACATCTACCCCTCAACTATAATTTTTTCTTACACCTTCACACTTATGGTGTCAAATTCAAAATAATCATCCAGATTTTGTGGAATGTGCTCTAGGTTGTACTCATTTGTGTAAAAATACAGTTTTTGATGCATCACAATGAGAGAGAGAGAGAGAGAGAGAGAGAGAGAGAGAGAGAGAGAGAGAGAGAGAGAGAGAGAGATATCACTTCTTGAAGCTTCGGCGAAAGATATCTGTGTTAGAAATTTTATCGTACATACATCAGCCTCTAGATCCTACTTCAGCAGAAGCAAAAGCAGCTTTGCTGGCGGTTGAATTGGCTCGGGACAAAGCCTGGCGGAAAGTGGTTATTGAAGGCGATTCTACAGTGGTCATCAAGGCGATTGAAGGCGAGGACGAGGATCGATCGCCATATGGAAATCTTATTGCGGACATTCATGCTATTATACCATGTTTCGAGGTTTTCTCTACTCTCCATATCCGTCGGAATGGGAATGGTGCTGCTCATGCTTTAGCTCAGTTGTCTTTTAAAGATCCGACTCTTTCCGGTTCTTTGCCACTGGAAATTCAAAACATTGTAATAGTTGAATCAATGCTCTGATATGAAAATTTTCTTTTCTCAAAAAAAAAAAAAACACATGAAGTTTCGTTAATTGAAGTTTATAAAAGGTAACCAAACAACTGATTGATAAAATTTAAAATCAAATTACGCGTATTTCTGGTAGTGTGGAAGAATTTAAATATCTACACGTTAGGAATATTTAATTAATACATTAAACAAGAAAAATTAAATAATTAAATAGAGTAAATATTAAATAAGAGTTGCCTATTCAGTTAGGAATCCGTATCTATATAAAGACTCGTCGCGTAGAATATGACATAGTTATACACTAGAGAGAGAAAGTAGAGAGAGAGAGAAGCAATACACAGAAATGTTCACGCAACACAGAGAGAGATAATTTTACGCGATGTCACGTGGGTGACCCGGGTTCGATCTCCGGCAACGGCGTCGGGTTTTTAGCCCTTTCTATTTAGTAATAAAGTAATTATAAATTAAATATTAACCAACAATCATCAAGTCGTTGTAGTATAGTGGTAAGTATTCCCGCCTGTCACGCGGGTGACCCGGGTTCGATCCCCGGCAACGGCGCAATATTTTTGTCCTCTTCCATTTAAATAATTATTTTTAGCTCCAAAAATTATTTTTTGAAGCCCACACGAGGACTCCTTTATCAAAAATGGAAAAAGAAAAGCCCATTAGTTAAAGCCCACAGCCTAAACCAGCACGGCGTCGTTCCGCGTTTTGGAAAGTGGAATAGTTCTAGATAATATTGTTTCAAGCACACACTGGACGGCGTCGTTTTATGTTTTGGGAGCATTCTCGTCTGGGATTTTTGCAGTAACTGGAGAGAGAGGAGAGAGAGAGAGAGAGAGAGAGGGAACTGAGAAGAGAATTGTGCTCGTGCGTGCTTTGGCGGGATGGTTCTGAGAGAGGCAACTCCTGCTACGGTCGACGCCGCCGACAATAGCAACTCCGATGCCGGACCTAGCGGCATCGTCGGCGTTCGGAGGTTTCCGCTGGCGGCGCAGCCGGAAATAATGAGAGCAGCTGAGAAGGACGACCAGTACGCTTCATTCGTATACGACGCCTGCCGAGATGCCTTCCGCCACCTCTTTGGTACTGTAATTAATCCATCTTCTCTTTTGCGCGCATATAGAAATGACATAGCATTTACAGACCTGATAAATTAGAAATGTGTGCGTTGTATTTTGATCTAAGGGGATTGTTGCTTTGTAGTGCTCATGGAATTATAATTAGTGAAAATATGTTCAAATTACTGAAACTTTTTTAGTTTCATTTAACTATGTGGCTTTTTCTTCATCTTTCAGGTACAAGAGTTGCTGTTGCATATCAGAGTGAGGTTTGCCGCTGCTCTTCCTAATTAATTTCTCTCACTTTGGTTATGTGTTTTTTTTTTTTTTTTTTTATAATTAATTTACTGTAAGATATTTTGCTTTTGTTCTTAGAATAGTGGACTGGTTATTTTTTGTTTTGCAGACAAAGCTGTTGGGACAGATGCTCTATTATGTTTTAACGACTGGCGCCGGAAAACAGACCCTAGGAGAAGAGTATTGTGACATTACTCAGGTTTGCATTTCTCATTTTTTTTTTTAATTTTACTGGTGCATATGCTTATGCATGAGGAATCTATGGAGCTAAGATTGAATCACAAAGACAACGTAGAAAACGATGATGTCAACCACTTAGATGGAGGAATGTTTGTTCAGCGTGACATATATATCATATTATATTTTCTTTGTTTTGTTAAATGTGTGTGCATACTATCTCTTCTAAGAAATGCAAACAAGAAGATCTTAACAGATACTTGCGTTTGGAAAATTAATCATCTGCACACCTCTGTAATATTTTTGCTGAATAATCTTCAGCATGATTCAAGTCCATGTTACATTGTATCATTCGATTTATCAATCATGATTTGGTTTCTAATACGTTAGCTGCAGAGTTGATAAAAAGGGGTTGTTGGTAATCCAAGTTTAAATTGATAAACAAGAAAGGTTTGAATTATTTTGCATTTTAATACATATGCTTGGAAATTCAATTTGTTTAGTGGTTGTATTGCATTTGCAGGTTGCACGACCCCATGGACTTCCTCCAACCCCAGCTAGGCGTTCTCTTTTTATTTTTTATCAGACAGCATTCCCATATATTGCAGAAAGGATCAGGTTCTGCATGTCTACATTTTGTTACTTGAACGACTCCCTTTTGCTTTCAGTGTATTAAAAAACTTAAGGTGGTTGTATAATGGCTGACTTACTTATCCATCGGGTTTGCAGCTCGCGTATTGCTTCCTTAGGAATCACAATGGACGATTCATTATCTGATGATATAATCGAGAATACCTCAAACATTCAAATTCAGTCCTCTACGAATTCAGGAGCCCGAGTTTCAACTTTGTCGAGATTGAAATATAGATTTAGTGGATTATGGTTATATGCAGTTCAGAGGTGGCCCTCAGTATGCTCTCTTACACCACACTAGTTTGCTTGCTTGTAATACACTAAATAATAGGAAAATAAAATATATGTGGAATGAGTTTCTATATTTTAACCGGAGCCAGTTGTCATTTATCATTTGTTTCCTGATTCATGTTTATAGATACAACTGTGAGAGCATGTTTTTTTTTCACTCCCTCTTACTATCTTCCCCTTTTTCCTCAGTTAATTATTGTCCCAACCAATTTATTGTTCTACTGTTGAATTCAGATGGTACCTATAGCCCGTGAGTTTTTCACGTTGATTCTCCGGACAAACCTCATGTTCTTCTATTTCGAAGGTGAAGTGATCAACCAGTATTAATTATAAAAATATAAGTAGTAATTTGACCGTAAGCTATTTGTTTTATGGTTTTTGTATTTAATTTTCTTTTACAGGACTATACTATCATTTATCAAAAAGAGCTGCTGGCGTTCGTTACGTGTTTATTGGCAAACCAAACAATCAACGACCTAGGTACGTCTTCCAATTAGCACTAATTTAAGATCACTCTTAAGTTGATAAATTTGTTGGAAAGGGATATGTAATGTTTTCATCCTACACTTGTTCTTAAAATTGTTTATCGGGTAATTTGATGGAATTCTATTACACAAGTTCTTCTCCCTAAGGGGGCAAAAGCCGATAGGTAGTGACATTCCATCATTTTTTTTCCGACAGAAATTGATTTGGGATCCTATTCATAAAATATCCGCGCATGTTCGTTAACTATTCCTTTCCAGATTGTTTTACTTTCCACATACATGCATATGATCAACATGAATATCTAAGCATTCTTACAGCTGGTGCATTGAGTTTGTGTTAGTCTTGTATTATTATAAAGAAAATAACTATCATAATGGATACCTGTAAGATGCTGCATGATTTTATCTTCGTAAGGATTTTTGCTAAATGTAGTTGTCTTAAAATTAATTTATGAGATAAGTTGTGTCTGAAGCTTTCGTCGGATGCAGATATCAAATACTGGGGGTTTTCCTCCTAGTTCAGCTGTGTATACTTGCTGCAGAAGGATTGAGGAGAAGCAATTTATCTTCTTTGGCTACTTCTTTTCAACAAACATCTCTCGGAACTTATCAAACTTCAGGAGGTGATATTTGATTGCCCTCCAAATTTTGAACTGATATCATTAGCTGAAAAAAGGATTTTTAATCCTACGCACCAATGATTTTAAGAACTAAAGAATATAACATTTTTTTAAGTGAAAAGATCCATCTTAATTCTAGCATGTCTCTTTTGACTTCACACAGCTAGCATTTTTACATAATTGTACGAAACCATTTGTATATTTTTTTAATCTTTGCCGTGTTTATTCTTAGACTTCAAATAATTGTAGGAAATATTTGATTCACATTCTTTTGTTATTTGTCATCAGTCTATTAGAAACAAGAATATGCTTCTTGTTGTTTACATATAAATATCGTAATTGACAGGAAGAGGTTTGCCTGTTCTAAATGAGGAAGGTAGTCTGGCAGCTGACGACTCCGGAAAGAGTACTTGGGTTCCCGAAGCCACATCTACTTCAGAGGTATAACTTACTCTCTGCTAAATCTCTCTCTCTCTCTCTCTCTCTCTCTGCGCTAAATCTCTCTCTCTCTCTCTCTCTCTCTCTCTCTCTCTCTCTCTCTCTCTCTCTCTCTCTCTCTCTCTCTCTCTCTCTCTCTCTCTCTCTCTGCGCTAAATCTCTCTCTCTCTCTCTCTGCTAAATCTCTCTCCCATGATTTGTGTTTGTCAGTCTCAAGTGAGCAAATGCACGCTTTGCCTAAGCAATCGGCAACACCCAACAGCCACCCCTTGTGGTCATGTATTTTGCTGGTACTATTTCGACTCCAAAACAACTTCATTGATCCTACTCTACTGCAACGGGTGATGGTGGTATACATCTTTCATTTCCTCATCTGTTATTTAATTTACTTTTTGTCTTTTTTCAAACAGGAATTGTATTATGGAATGGTGTAATGAAAAGCCAGAATGCCCTTTATGCCGTTCACCCGCGACTCATTCAAGTCTTGTTTGTCTTTACCATTCTGATTTTTAACTCGCCCAAACTCAGAAACTGCAATAAGGTATTCTCTTCAATTGTTTTACCATGTTTCTCTTTTTATCATCAAAGAAAAGCAATCCTCGTATAGTCGGTCGTACTACGGCAATTAGAGTCTTGTTTTTGTCTAGTAATCATATATTAATGAAATCTTCTCCTTAGTGATCGAGCGACGAAACCTAATGCCAGCGTATTGTCTCGTCTCGTGTATGATAATTGCAATGCCAACATATATATTACTGTCACCATGTAAAAACATTGGGTTTTGCTATGTAATGGTTCCACTATGTAAAGAGTGGAATTAATTCGTGGCCAATTCTTTCTGGGTAAATCACTTCTTTTTCACACAAAAAAATAAATAAAATAAAAAGTAAAAAAAAATCTTACTTTTCCGTTAAGATCATGATATGTACAATGTAAACTGTAAAGTAACAAGCATGTGGTACCTGCGATCACAATGACGTCATTTTTCGGTCACATTTTTTTTTTGGGATAAAATAATCTTCTCAATATAGTACTGTGTACTGTCCTAATTGTACAGTGCTGGGGGTCCTATTGTAATTTATAATTATTTTGTTGTTCCAAAGTTGTTACACAGTACACTCATTGTGCCCCTTTTCTTTCTTGTGTCATCACGAACGTATGAAATTCCATAATTACTGTAACTAATATTTCATCTCACGACACTACTATTTGGTAAGTATTGTTTATTACATTTACAAAAAAAATACATATATAACATTTATTAATTTCATGTTAAGTCAGAATAGATTATGAAAGAGAAACTTTTAATTTAATTATTTCTAGGTAGCTGTGATTAGAGTTGTAAGCTACAATAGCTTAGTGGGGTCGTTTTTGGAACAGCATGCAAATAGTGTTGCCAAACACATGTCATGATGAATTTGGTCGATTAATTAAAATCCATTTTCAAGGCCACGTCATCGTGTTAATCTTTCTTTTTTTTTGGGTGAAAAGTAATAAAAGGCTATAGTTCATGGGTGCAAATGAGATAAAGCCTAATTAAATTAATATTTGCGACAAATGACGTGTTGAAGATGTAAAGAGGGCACGCATGCAGCAATTTGAAGAGATGATAATAACAGGGATGAAGTGAAAAGTTTTGACCCATTAATAATAATAATAATAATAAAAGGTGGTGGTAGTAATGGGAATATTAATATAATAATGGATTGACTTAGTGGGGGATGGTGACATTTAAAGAAAGGATTGAGAACAGCCTTTTCAATTAATTAGGAAAAGTCCCTCATAATGATTGCAGCCGCCCCCTTTACAATACAATTTGGCCATATATATCCATATTTATATATATAATAATAAATTACATACATTATATTGTGGGATTATATGGAACACTTTTTTGGGCTCTGTCTCCCCATTACAAGGTAGACTAACAAACCAATTAGTGCTTCTTTTTGCTAATGCTCAATTTTAAGTGACAGCAATGCCCTCTACTGTAGTATCCTTCTTAATTACCAAATGGATTTGAATGATAAATAGTGCAGAGAGAGAGAGAGAGAGAGAGAGAGAGAGAGTGGACTCTCCACAAAAAAAAAAAGGAAATTGGTAGTTAATAAGTGGAATAACGGCACGCTTGAGAGACAGCAATATAGAGGGGCTGCCCACCATCTGCCGGCTGCCGTCTGTTTCCTCCGTCAACTCGCATTATTTATGTTAGCACGCCTCTATTTTATCCACTCAATTCTTTTTTTTTTTTTGTGATCAATTAGTATATATATATATATATATATATATATATATATATATATATATATATATATATATATATATATATATATATATATATATATATATATATATATATGATCAAATTCACAAACAAATGAAATATAGTGTCTTCAAACACCATTATCATTCATTCATGCATGTGTGCAGTGTTTAAATGCGGATCATTAAACATATACCTAACACAATAAAGACATACTCATTTTTAACTTGAATTCAAACTCCGATCACATGTAATAACCGAGAGTTGTTTCGGTGAAAATATCTGTACAACTCATCTCTAAAAACTCTACTCATTCCACATATAAAAAATGCATAAGCATAACAAATTTTCGACGTCGGACAAACAACCTTCACTTCTAGACAATATAATCTAACTATATCGAATGTTCGTTTTCCCTTATTATCCTGATCCGTTTGATTTTCACCTCTAGACGTCATTATCATCACTTTTTGGCATAATGCACAATAGATAATTTAGATCTGAATTTCTCATTAAATTTTTTTATTTTTGTTTCAATTGTTCTGTATTGTAGGATAATAGTAAACTTGTTAATGGGCAATTGCCTAATTAATGGGTAAAGAGAAAAATATTAGCAACCAGAAACACAGGCAGGTAACATGCCAAAATAGATGTGTCACTAAAAACAAGCGTGGCATTTTTGAATATTGATATTGAGCGTGTACAATAAGGGGCCCACATAAGCCACGCCCTGCAATAAAATAATTTTGTGCTCCTCCTATCTCTATTTCCAGACTAAAATCGCGCATGCTTTTTTTCTTTTTCTTTTTTTTTGGTATACCTAGTTTATTATTTTATAAACTTGTTATATATTAATCCTTCAATTAATATTTAAAAAAAAAACTATGGGTGTGTCTGATGACTAGACATGTGAGAAAAAGGACAAAAAATGGGATACGTTGGGATACTTTTGGATGCCTATAAAACGAGTATCACATTAACTACTTTCAACTCACTCCCAAAAACTTGTAAGTTAATTATCTATAGTTTCTTTCATTCATAGCTACTTTTTCATTTCATTGTGTGTAGGCAAGCAATTATAATTGTAAGTAGTGAAGAAATTAAAAGAAAGAATATAATATAATGGGTGAAGCTGTTGAATTCTTAGCTTACAACAATGGTTTCTCAAATGTGCATTTCGAAACAAATCACAATAATATGATCATTCAGCAAAATGATCTTCTTGTTCATCATCATCAACAACAACAACAACAACAAGAAGATTCTTGGTTTGAAGAAGAGATTGATGTTCATCTCAAGTGGTCTTTTGCTTTGAACAGGTACCTACCTAGCTTTATATATATATATATATATGTTTTTTTTAAGGGTATATGAAACTCAATTTTATCTTGAAGAACGAATTAAAGAGTAAAATGACAGTTATGCCCCTTCATCTTCCCCTCAGAGTACTGCACAAAGGAACTAGTGAGTACCAAGACATTGCTCTTTTGGACACCAAACATTTCGGGAAGGTACGTAATCCAACTTAATTATACCGTATTTACTTATTTTGTTATTTATAATTTTATATTATATATATAAGGGATACATGCACAAATAATTGATTGTTGATGGTGTAATTAATAAATAATAATAAAAGTAGTTGTGTTTAATTTGTGTAGGTTTTGGTGATAGATGGGAAGATGCAGAGTGCTGAAGTTGATGAATTTATTTATCATGAATGTTTGATTCATCCACCCCTCCTATGTCACCCCAAGTCAGTCCTTCACATACATATACATATATATACATATCTTAATCAGCACGCTTCGTATCTACTCGATCTATTTAATCGTTATGGCACATGCACGTACACTATATATGTATCATGTATATATAAATTCATAATGTATCGATATGATCACGTACAGCCCAAAAACAATGTTTATAATGGGTGGTGGTGAAGGGTCCGCCGCTAGGGAAGCACTGAGGCACAAATCCATTGAGAAAGTCGTCATGTGCGATATCGATCAGGTATATACATGCATATCTCTATCTATATACATACATTCATATATACAGTAAGAATGCATTCACAAGAACTAATTCTTTTTTCGCAATCATTGGAATATTTATATTGCATTTTCACGTGTATCCTTTTTATTCGTTTATTTCGTTAAGTGCGCCCAATTATCGTCACCTACACGAGTGGTGCTTTTTGAAAAAAAAAAAAAAAAAAAAAAAAATGTTTTGCCCTGTTTGCCACTTTTATTTACAACCTTAATCCTGATAAGGTTGGATTAAGGGAACATAAAATCTCTTTTGTAGGTAGGTTGTCCTTTTGTTTGCTTAGAGCCTTCTATTACTTTATATTATATATATTCCAATATGAAAAATGCATGTTTCTGCATGGATTTAGGAAATTACCAAATAATCCTTTTGCCACTTAATGCATCAGGAGGTTGTTGATTTCTGTAGAAAGCATCTCACAGCGAACCACGAGGCTTTCCGTAACACGAAGCTGGATTTAGTGATCAATGATGCCAAGTATGGATTAATTAATAATGTTTTATAATTTACGTAATAAATTAAAGCCGGCCGGTTAATTATATATATATGGCAATAATTATAACTAATTTGAGTATATATATATGATGAAGAGCTGAGCTGGAAAAAAGGAAGGAAAAATATGACATAATAGTGGGAGATTTAGCAGATCCAGTTGAAGGAGGGCCTTGTTATCAACTCTACACGAAATCATTCTACGAAAACATTCTTAAACCGAAGCTCAATACCAACGGCATCTTCGTTACTCAGGCTGGGCCCGCCGGTGTATTCACTCACAAGGAGGTTTTCTCCTCAATCTACAACACTATTAAACATGTTTTCAAGTGTAAGTTATTATTCATTCATATCTATCTATATATCTTCTTAATTAATTAATTTTAATTAAATATGAAACTATTTGATCGATTATTTCATCTTGTGATCGATATATATAATGTGTGAACGTACAGATGTTCGTGCCTACACGGCTCATGTGCCGTCTTTCGCTGATACGTGGGGATGGGTTATTGTAAGTATTAGATGTTTGATTATTAATTATTATTATAAATTATGTTCTCCAAATTAATTGTATGGATTATATATATCTAATAATTAAAACATGGATTAATATTATTATACAGGCCTCTGATCAGCCACTCTGCATTGAAGCTGGAAAAATGGATAAGAAGATTGCAGAAAGAATTGATGGGGAACTCTTGTACTTGAATGGTGCTACTTTTGTTTCATCCACCATTTTGAATAAGACTGTTGCCAAAACGTAAGTCTTCGAATTAAAAATAAATAAATAAATTATATTTTGTCGAAAATTTGAGTACGTAACACATTTCGATCGAAGAAAAATATTTTAATAATAAATTAATTTGTTATTTATGGTTCAGGTTGAAAAACGAGAGTCACGTGTACGCGGAGGATAACGCGAGATTTATTCATGGCCAGGGCGTAGCATACCGGATTTGAGACGACTTCTGTACAGAATTTGAAGAGAACAAACTGCCCCCCCCCCCCCAAAAAAAAAAAGACTATGGAATGAATAGAAAACAGAGTTGTTTAATTAATGAAATGTAAGCAATTACTGTTTGGAAGCTATTAATTAATTGGGTTTAAGACAGTACAAAAGTTGTCGGAATATGTAATGTAATCCTAAAAAAAATGTTGAGGATTGTTGAAGCTTTCAGTTAATTATATATTTCCAGTTTGGCTTTAACAAAATGGTGCAATTAACTAATTTTCATGTAACAATACATTTTTCTTGGAATTTTGTGCCAAAGCAAGCCCAAAAGAGTGTTAATAATCAATATTTGGATCCGATAAGCCCATTACTTAATGGGCCCAACATGCGGGTCGGCCCATTTTATGAGATCAAAGATCTTTTTCTGACATGGCGGCATCCAAGTTGATCCTACGTGGCATGCCCCTAGCCGTTATTCACCATTTGACAAGAATATATTCTTTCTATAAAAGGAAAAAAGGAAAAGGTACAAAAATATATTCTCTTCCCTTTTTGGGAAAATTACGGCCACTCCTAAGTTAAGTTCAAATTACGAAAAAACTGATCTTGTTTAGATAATTGTAATGACTCCATTAATTATGTATTGCTTTTCAAATAGCCCCTCATTCGGTAGCTACATTTGACACCACATGTAAGACAATAATCCGTCCTTTGTTTTTTGGGGTCCTTTTTAGGGGTAGCCACTTGTTACTCGAAATTAAATCCAATTCGATCACGTGAACACATTGATTGAAATTCATTCGCCATAAATTACACTTATTTGAATATGATCAGATGAATTGAACAAGAACTTGTCTGAACATTCTCAACAAGTACTAATTAATACATTAACACAACTGCATATTCATTTATTTCCAAAATTAATGATCTTTATCAAGAAGATGTACTTGCTGAGGAAGAAGATCATATCTAATATTAAGCTCTTCGAATATTCTCTTCATTTCGAGAATCATTTGAGTTTTTCGTCGGCTTTTTTCTCCGTAGTCTTGAAAGTTCATCGTGTGGTTGATATAAAGCCCCATCTTTATCTTGTTCACATTTACAATCTCCTTCACTACAACATTGTGATTTGGATGCCAATGCTGTGGATTATTCATTAGATACCTGCATATCACCCAATGAAACACACTTAATGAATTATAAAAAATCGAATATGGTATCATATATTTTCGAATAAAAATTAACTCACATCTTAATTTTTTCCTTCAAAGCGCCTATCTTCTCCAATGGAGTCTTGAAATCGATCGAGAACTCAACCAAATCCCCCATATCGGGGCTTCTATAGAAATTGCTAATTGGTTTTGCAGACAAAACAGAATTCGGATAGTATATCTTCTCGTTATCGTATCTCAGAAAGACCGTAGTCAATATATTCATCTCCTCCACAATCATCTGTCAAAAAAAAAATATATTTTTTTGTATGACTATAATTAATTAACTCAAACAAACAATGAGGCTCGATTTTCGTGGAAATTACCTGAACGCCATCGATAACACAACGATCCCCAACATCAAAAGGATGCATCACAAAGACAAAAATAATAGCTTCGAAAATAGTCTTGCAAGTGTTACCAAACACGAAAACCGAAAGAACGAGCTGCGAAGAGAGCAAAACAAGCACTTTGGTGGTTGCTATTCCAGTCAATGAAAGCCACAATACTATCATTATAACAATCAGAATCCCGGTAACAAGCTTGTTCAATTGTTTGACAGCTGTCTTCGTGTCCGTCAGAGCATGAGCCAACGCTTTTCGACCTTTGTAAACCTTCACCTGCACATACATAACCAAATCAAGAAAATGTTGACATTTATAACAAAATACAAAAAAAAAAAAAAGATTGATTATCGAGTAATATATACCACCCAATCAGTTAAAGTTTTCCGATCAATCCGCCCTGTCTCAGCCACGTCAATCATCGGAAAAACAATCTCCAACTCTTCTTTAATCATGAATCTGCTTAAATCCAGTTCATCAATGTACCTACAAATTTAATACAATATTATTTTACATTATATATCAAAAAAAAAATCAAATTTTAATTAAAAAAGATGGATTTTTGTTAGAAAAAAAATTCGCTTACTTCGAACCAGGCTGAGCTATGTGTCGGAAAATGTGATAGGCGGCAGCGATTGCCTCCTCTTCATTAGTAATCTCTTTATCCATTTCTTCGTCGCCATTAATTTCGTCGATCTCATTCGAAAGAGTCGTCAAACCGGAATTATGTATAACGTCGACCAACATCTTCATAGTCCAAGCAGAGACTTTATTTTGCTTCATCTGATGAAGTTTATTTATATCAATAAACTCCTTCCTCTTAAGATTCTCCATATCTTCTTTCCCCTTTCTCGCAATATACGAGTTCGATTTACTCATACTCCCGATTTTGTCAACCACAATATTCGCGGGCTCCATAAACGGTGGACCGGAAAGAGTCATCAGAATATACTGATGGAATATGGAATCTTGGATCCTATCGAAGAAAGTGTTGACATGAAACGAAGACGCTAGAATTTTTAGCAACAAAGTTTTCAGTAGCCAAAAAAATGCACCGATTAGCAACGAAGCGATTGTCCATGTGATGAAGCTCAAAATCCGAGCTTCCACGCGCGATTGTTTGACCCCTTCTTCGATTAAAAAAACCCAATTGAGAAGCACTAAAGCCAACCAGATACAAACTTGGACGCTCTTTTTAAGACCGTACACGAAGTACAAAACTTTTTTTCGGAGCAAGTAGTTTAATTCGATCAATAAAACGACGAAACGCATTACCCATTCGGTAAATAACAAGCCGCTACAAGTGACCAAAACAAGCATAAACCACCTCCAAATCCTCAAATCCCAAATCCTCCAATTTTTGAATTTATCGACCGTTAAACTTACAACCAAACACCCCATAATGAAAAGAAAGAGAAGCCACTCAATCAAAACCCTAGTTTTCACATTCCAAAACCTGATTTTCCTCCTACACCTGATTTTCATGTATATTTCTTCATCCTCGTCGAGTTCTCCGAATCGACCGGGCGGCGAAGAAATAAACGGTGTTTTCGGACTACTAAAAAACACGGCTCTATGATTAGTTTCCCTAACACTATCGCTATACGCGATAGCGTAGTCTTCGACTAATGCACCATCTTCGAGTATGGTACTCTCGATAGGGATTGATTGTTCGCCGAATCTTGATTTGGGTTTAGAGTGGACTGACCTTGAGAATGATTTCACACGTGTGAGATTGAGATTTCTTGGGGTTCTTGGTGGATGAATGGGGCTTGGACAGAACCCTGAGATTTCGGGGGAAGGGCAACTCCTTGTCGTCACCGATTTTCGAGTCGAATCGTTCGACTCGAGTGAGAGTTTGTGGTTTCGATCATTTGGAGGGGAATCTGGAATTATTGGGAATTTGGAATCTTTTCCATTGTCGTGAATGGTGATGATGACGTCAGCACCCATCTTTCTCAGCTGGCTGCTGTCCGCCATGCTTACATTTGGAGCTGCTAATTTAATATTTGCAATACTATCCATTAATATTGATCAATGATGCCTGTCAAAAAAAATCAGAATCACACAAACGTACGTACACATGCAATTGTGGAAGTTACAGAATTAATGTTAAAATATATAGAAATGCACATAAACACAATTAGTTTAAATGAACAAACATGTTTTCCTGTTTCTTTATTATGAGAGATAAACGTACGTAAGTACGTACACAGTGACGTTAAAAAATGGTAAGAGAATAGAAAAAAGGGCCTACGTACCTTTGATTGACGTAGAAAGAGAAGCCGGTGGGTGGCCGTATATTCAATATAATCTGAGAAAAAATAATCCAGCACTTAGCTTATACTGTGTGTACGTACTATACAGTATTTGCTACATTATTGAATTTTATATGAGAGAGAGAGAGAGAGAGAGAGAGAGAGAGAGAGAGAGAGAGAGAGAGAGAGAGAGAGAGAGAGAGAGAGAGAGAGAGAGCAAATGCTTATTATGGATCCTACACAACACAAGAGAGTTCAATTTATAGATGTAAATGTTGTCAACTTTATCGAATTTTAAAATAATGGAATTAGTGCACCTTTTTTTTAACTACATTATTTTTTCACCTTTTTTAACTAGTGTTTTCTCAAAATTTCCTTAATTATATTTAGGTTTAATTTAAAATATATATGCATGTTTACGCAAGTAAAATATAGTTATGTTTATGGTTATAAGTAGATCCCAATTTTTATTTTGTAATTTGGGTTAAAATAAGTCTGGTTTCAATTTAAATTAGTTTAATTTAATCTATTTGCATTTTAATATATGCTTTAATACTAGTTTAGCTTTAAGTTAATTTAACCCTAGGATTAATAGTAGGGTGCAAATTTAGACCGGATGGCATGTTTTAAATAGGAAAATCGGATGTCATAGGATGATTGACACGTGGATAGTTTAAATAAAAATGTAGTTATGATTCTAATAATTGAAAAAAAAAAGAAAAAAAAAAAAGAAAAGAAAACCCTAGCAGACCCGTAACTCCTCTAACCCTAATTATAATTAGTGTAATTTATTAAGAACTAAGACCTAAGAGTTAAGACTTAAGAGTGTCACATGTCAAAAAAATAGTGGAATCCCATTTATATTAAATGTCGGCTGATCCGCTCAGAATTTAATCTCTTCGTATTATTATAATATTTAAATGATATGTCTTTAATATAATTGATATAAAAAATGCAAATAATTTTATATATAAAGTTTTTAAGTGCATGATTAAAAAAAAAAAAGATAAAATTGTATGGCTTGAAGTAGATAACTAATATTTTTTTAAATCGACTTTTTACATTCGATTTGTTTTGTAGTCCTTGAAATAGTATGATTCCCTTTTTCTCACCTCATAAGTTTGTAGGAAATTGAATTTTGGAAAGATTTTGTAATTTTTGTCGGGATCTGAGAATCCAAAATTAATTGAGGAAAAGTGAAAAGTCACAACCTAACAATAAATAAATAAATAAATAAATAAATAAATAAATAAATAATATCCCTGTCCACTTAATTTTCTTGTCCCCAACCCCATCACCCTCTGCCAAAAATTCAACTCCTTCTTCTTCTTCTTCTCTATTCTTTCCTCTTTAATTTTCCTTCTACTTTGGGTTAATTTTCCTTCTACTTTGGGTTGACCTCACCCTATATTTATCGTTTTGCATCATAATTAATTAATTAATTATGTTATGAGATATTAATATTTATTTTAACTTATATTTAAGTACTAGATTATGTGAATAATAAATAATATATATACTATGCATATGATTATTATCATTGTATATAAATCAAAAATAAATTTAAAATAATCACGCAATCATTACCTATCCAAGAATTTCGGACATAAACTACTTATTTATTTAATAATAATAATAATAAGGGTAAATTACAACCACTCCTGAGATATGGTCAAATTACGAAAACCCCCTCCTCTTTGGATAATTACAATCACCCCCTCAACTACTTATTATTATTATTATTATTATTATTATTATTATTATTATTATTATTATTATTATTATTATTATTATTATTTGTTTATGATATGTATTTCGGGCATGAATTAATTGTTAGAGAATAATGATGCAATCATTACTTATTAAACTCTGAAGTTGGGCTACATTTAAAAGAGCTCATCAGAACTTCTTGGGCCAAAGCTTGACACAACACAACATCCATTAATTAATCATTTAATTTCAATTTTCAAATAAATATTATTTTTCCTTGTTAAATAATATATATCGAGTCCACACCTAAATAATTAAAACTGTCCCATTTGGGGAATGCGTGGTCAAAGATGAAAGTACATTATTTTATATTTGTATCATTGTCTTGAAAGGTCAATTTCAACTAATAATTATTTATTTAAAATGAAAAATAAAAAAAAATCAACTAATAATAATGTAGAGTAATTTGTGTAGTTGTGTGGTGCATGAAACAACACAGCCAAATCTGAGGCCCCCATTGGACTACGAATACAAAATCTTGGATATTTATTGTTACTCCCCGAAGCCAAGCAAATTATTTATTTTATTCATACTGTATTAAATATTAATAATTAATATTTATCAAAAATAAAATATTAATAATTAATGGCGGCAGCGGCAGGTCAATTTGTGATAGAGATTGGAGAAGGAACAGTTTTATTGTCATGTCGATCAAGCTAGTGGCCTAGTGGTGCTCGAGTTTACTCTCACATTTATTATCACCCCTCATAATAATAATAATAATAATAATAATAATAATAATAATAATATAATAATAATAATAATAATAATAATAATAATAATAATATAATAATATATTATTATTATTATGATTATTATATATAATAATATATATATATATA